TTAAGTTACCATGTCTACCCTGTATTAGCAATCATCTATAACTATTTTACCTCCATGGAATGAACTGATAACCTCAGGGTAGCAGAAAGCATAGGGAGACCTTCTTAAAAAAAAAAATCCAGATTTGGAAACTCCATTTAAAAGAGTAAGTTTCACCTATCCTTCTCTGTCATGATGAGCCTAAGTGAAGCGAAGCTTTAAAAAAAGAGGCCTTATTTATATTATACAGATGTGTGAAATATAATATGATCTACATAGAAATAGTCTGTGACAAGTCACCACTGTGAAATTAATTTCAAAGCAGAATCATGTAAAACTAAAACAAAGGCATTAGAAGAGACACGAGGCTGTCTAGCCCAACCTCTGATCAATAGAGCCTTTTAAGGTCAGTAAGAGCCCTGGGTATGAAGGCCCATCTCTGCTCTTTTACTAGCTGCACGATTCTTTAATGATTATTTCACTTCTGGGGGTTTACTAATCAGTAAAACAGCAATAACATCTGTTCCACCTCCTAACTCAGAGAGACCTACAGTAAGAATTCTCTTTGGAGAATTAAAACACACTGAATACAGAAGCGCTGGATAAAGCATAAAGGACTGTACAAATACAAAGCATTGCTGAAAGGAGGGTGGCCGTAAATTTGCACCCCGTGGGCTGACTTTTTCAAAAACCTACATAAAAATGTTTCTTAAAAAGAACTCCAGAGATTGGCAAAGGTCAACTCCAGGCCACAGGACAACCCCAACTTGACAAACTTCCAAGTATCCACTTATTCTATACGATTAACCAGTGTCATGGTTAGGTAAAACACATTTATCAAATTTCATTTAGTCAAGCTTGCATGTGTGTTTCTCATTTTAGGGTGGTAATAACGGAAACGTTTCAAAACCCTCTCAAGAAAATAACGTATTACAAGAGTAGGAGAGCTCATTTATTTTGGTATCTACCAAGAACAGAACAAGGTCTACACACTCCTTACCATCAAAGTCAAAGGCTCTATGTTCTTGTAAACTTGAAGCAGAAAGAAGCTCCAGATCAGTGGACAAAGAACATTAAAGGCTCACACCTTAGGGATCAGAAGAAGAAAAATAGCATTATTGTGTCTTCGTCATCAGTGTAGAAGAGGGAAGAGACCAAATCATACCTACTACCAAAATCATTTCACCAAAAATAATATAGACACAAATACTGTAAAAACTCTGTATGAGCAGAACTGTCCCATAGTTTCAAAGGAGTGGCTGGTAGATTTGAACTGCCAACCTTCTGGTTAGCAGCCATAGATCTTTAACCATTGCACCACCAGGGCTCCAAACTCTATATGAAGACAAAACTAAATATAGATATAAAGGCTCATAAGTGGTGGAGGGTCGGCAAAAAAGAGGAAAACCTTCAATGAGATAGACTGACACAATGGCTGCCAACGATGGGCTCAAGCATGACGATTGTGAGGATGGTGCAGGACCGGGCAGTGTTTTGTTCTGCTGTACACAGGGTCGCTATGAGTCGGAACCGACTCGACAGCACCCAACAACTATGTAAGAGGTTCCTAAGCGCTGCACACGGAAAGCATTTGGAAATGCAGGGGTATACAATGACAGCTAAAGAAACACAAGTTCTTTAAAAAAAAAAAAACACAAGGAGAATAATGGGAACAAAATGAAAAGACCTGATGGCCTAAGAAGCTACTAACTGGGAAAAAGAGCATAGCCCACTTTTAAGTGTGCCAAAGCCCTCTAAAGAAAGGTTATTAGCAGAATGCCTTATAAAAGAAAATGATAACATATGGTATCAGATAAATATAAGTTGATGTGGAAGACGTGAGAGCTCTTCCGCTTTCACTGTCAGAGTTAAAAAATGAGAGCGTAAACCCCAGAGATTACAGACATAATACGAAAGTGAGAAATGTAATTGGTAACTTCAAGAAATCAGTGATTAAACAACTCCTAGACGCAAAAGGTCAGCGGTTCAAACCCACCAGCTGCTCCACAGGAGGAAGATGTGGTGCAATCTGCTTCTGTAAAGATTTACAACCTTGAAAATCCTATGGGGCAGTTCTACTCTATCCTATAGGGTCGCTGTGAGTAGGAATTGGCTTGACAGCATCGGGGTTATTCTAGGACAGGAGAAAGCCAGAAAGAGAGAACCCTTTTTTTTTTTTTTGTGGTGCCACATAGATCACAGATAGAAGGAAGAGCCTCAGAGACATCAGTTAAGGCAACAGCTCAGTTCAAAGACTCAACCCAAAAAAACCCACTGCTAACAATCCCAACTCACAGCCACCCTATAGGACAAAGCAGAACTGCCCTATAGGGTTTCCAAGGCTGTAAATCTTTACAGAAGCAGACTGCCACTTCTTTCTCCCAAGGAGTGGCTAGTCAGCCCAAATTACAGACCTTTCAGTTAGCAGCCAAGTGCTTAACCACTGCAGCACCAGGGCTCAAAGACTTACTAGCCATAAAACCCGGAGAATGACACCTCCCCTCTCCAAGCTTCTATTTCTTTATGTGGAAAAAAGTATTTACTTCACAGAGTTATTGCTCAAAGGCAATACAGTAGTAATAAAAAAAAAAAATAGTGTCACACATACATTATGTGCTCAACAAGCGACACAGTAAGAGCAGGAGCAGTAACATAAGAAATAGAAACGTGATAGAATTTAAGAGTCATAGCAGAGGATGCATACGGAAACACAGGGAAGGGGCTGATTAACTCTGAGGCCACGTGGGGGGAGACATTTTGAGAAGGAAATACAGGTAGGACTTTAACAGGCAACAAAAAGATGTGGAGTGGTGAGTTGAGAAAGGATGGAGTTGTGAGCTACAGAGTGTGCAAACAAGACAGAGATTATGTCAGTGCTGCTGGGAGACATGACAGATGGCGGGTGAACCCCACAGATCACAGGGAAGAGGGCAAAGCATCTCAGAGCGGGGAGGATCATCCGAAGACGTTCCGAGTGACGGAGTGTGAGGGAGACACACGTCTTTCTCCTCACTGTCTCACATGTGCCGGTAATTAGCCCACTGAATAAGGAAGCTGCCTTCACCCTGACCCTCGAGTATATATGGACCGTCACACCTTCTGAGACTACCTCACACCTTTGCTTCCTACTCTATATGGGCTGTTGTTGTTTGCAGCTACTACCACAGAGTCAGCCCCCGATTCATGGCGACCCCTGGACAACGGAACAAAACGCTGCCCATCCTACGCCATCTCCATGATCAGCTGTGGACTGGACTGTGGCGACCCACAGGATATTCAATGGTTGATTTTTGGAAGTAGATCTCCAGGCCTTTCTACCTTGTCTGTCTTAGTCTTGAAGCCCCGCTGAGATCTGTTCAGCATCTTAGCAACACGCAAGCCTCCACTGACAGATGGGTGCCTCCTTAGTCTCTCCACCTTAGAGGGAAGTCTATTGTAGCTCTCCCCAAAAATCAGGAGACAAAACGACAACCTCTCTAGTAAGCAGACAAAGGGCAAGGCTGAGAAAACAAACGAGGAAGTCAACACATGGATCCTGCTGTTCCTGGGAAGAAGGAATCTCCTCCAGAACCCATTCCTGAGCCCGGCAATCACTCAGAAACGATGAACCAAAGAAAACCAGTTCCACTAAATCCTTGATAAACTGCAAAGGTGCAGTCTCCCTAAAGGACAAATAAAACCTCAGGCACCGTCCTGAAGATTCAGAGAACATCAAGGCTTCTTTTATTGTTTTCCCAGAGAGGCTCTCTGATGGTCTTGTTACTGCCCTTCTGGGGGAGAGGAGACCCAGAGATCCACAGCCACAGTTCAAGAGTGCATTCTCAGGCCGTACCTTCGCTATCATCCTGTCCAAGCCTCCAGACACCTTACACAAGCTAGATCTCTGGCTTCAGACGTCAATCCTAAAAAACTAACAGACCATTAAAGTGTTTCACTGGGAGCAAGTTGAGGAGGAGGAAGGAAACAGGAAGAATGGCCAAAATATATCATGAAGTAAATGCAAATCCAGGTATTTCACCTTCCAACTTGCAGAGCCCAAAGAGGAGGGCAGAATAAATGAGAATTAAAGAAAGAATTCAGGGAAGATGACCAGGAGCAGGTCTGCACACAGCATGAAAAGGTCTCAGGCAAGATCACTGAAACAAACATGCTAGGGACTGGAGCTCCTTTCACTTTCCCTTCCCTCTCAGTTCCCAGAAGGCTAATGCTCTTCTGTTTGTAAGTTCTAGGTTATTGCTTTCATGAGTCTGGATGAGCCATGGACACCAACTGGCCAACAGGTGGAACCTCTTCAACCCAAGAGGAGTGCCCTCTTTGTGCTGCCCATGGAGTTTAGTGCGTGAGTGTGCACAACACGTGTGCATCTTAACAGAAAGATGATGATCTCAGGTAGACCTTTAAACTCTGCTTGGTTTAAACTGAATGTACCGCCATTAAAACCACCGAAACTAAGCTTTACTCAAATTTGCCAGTGAGCCTCAACAGAAGATCTCACCCAGCCACGCAGCTCTTTAGACAACTTTACCCTGCAGAAGCCTAGGGAAGGAAAAACAGACAGGGAAGGCAAAACAACTCCAGGCATCTTACTATGCCAACTTTGCATGGGCTCCCCATCTGACCATCGGTTGGCAGCATTTTGGGATACTTGTCCAAAGGCAGGAGGGAGGGATAACTGAGTTACAGAAAAAGCCCTACAAGACAAAGGGGTAGAAGGTGAAGGAGAAGGCAGTAGAAATGTGCTAAGCTGTGACTTAAGGGGCTGTGGTTCTTGTTTTGGCTCTAATCCTAATTCACTGTGTAATCATGGCCATATAACCCCCTAGGAGGTCTCAATCTCTTTGTCCACAAAAGAGATGTTGGCGTAGATGATTTCTAGGGGCTCCTTAAGCTTTGACAGTCCATAGTTATGATAACGACACTCTAAATTCATGAGCTATGTTATTTCAGCAAAACAGTGTACTCTAAACCACTTCCACTATATTAAACTTTCCCACTGGAGGTCCCCAAATTCCAGCACCTACCCTCGCCTTCAGGTTGCTTGTATGGGTTGTACTTGGGCTTTGGAGCAACTACTGGTGCAAACTTCTTGGGTGGCTGTTGTGTGGACACCGAAATGCTGGGGGTCCCAAAGGAATGGGTGGTCTCCATCCGAGCAGGCACATGACCAAGGCCCTCTCCAGTGCTTTTGGGTGGCAGCCAGGATGGGTGAGACATTGTTGGAATCTGGAATTAAAAATAAACAAACACAGCTGTTTTTACAGAACCATGAAAACAGAGGCAACGGACCTTACTTCACTGTTATTTCATCTTCGATACTTTCATGCATCTTGCTAAAGCTCTCTGGAAAAGGAGAAGGAAGAAGAAAGATGGAGGAGAGAGGAAGGAAGGAAGAGGAGGAGGAGAGAAGACAACAATGAAGAAGGAAGAGAAGGAGAACAAGAAAGAGGAAGAGGAGGAGAGAACATTATCCTCATTCAGTCTTTAATACCTACCCCTATCTTAGTTATCTAGTCCTGTTGTAACAGACATATCACAAGTGGATGGCTTTAACAAACAAATTTATTCCCTCACAGTCTGGAAGGCTAGAAGTCTGGATTCAGGGAACCAGCTCCAGGGGAAGACTTTCTCTCTGTGTCGGCTCTGGGGAAAGGTCCTTGTAATCAATCTTCCCCTGGTCTAGGAGCTTCTCAGTGCAGGGACCCTGGGTCCAAAGGACATGCTACTCCCCCGGCTCTTCTTTTTTGGTAGTATGAGGTCCCTCTCCTCTCTGCTCGCTTCTCTCTTTTATTTCTCTCAAAAGAGACTGACTGAACATATAGCCTAATCCTATGTTTTAAGTCCTGCCCATTAACTGTCTCTAATTCTGCCTCAGTAACATCATAGAGGTTTGGATCTACAACACACAGGGAAATTACATCAGCTCGCAAAATGGTGCACAACCACACAATACTGGGAATCGTGGCCCAGCCAGGTTGATACGCATTTTGGGGGGACAAATTCAATCTGATACCTTTCTTCGAATATTACCAATTTTAGTGCCTCGCACCTTTCAGGAAATAGACATGAATTAAAAATGGCCTCTAGACTGAAGGAGAATCTTAAACGAGCAAGGTTGGAAAAATGCTTCAATTTTATTAATAATCTGTTAAGATAACTATCATACCAAGCAAATGGTGTTAAGTTACCTAAATGAGGTGGTAAGTTACCTAAATGAGGTAAAAAGTGTTGCTGGGATGCAGAAATATGTAAGATTACTTCTCGCTGGGAGCAGAACTAGGAAGACCCCATTGGTGAGGAGACATTCATGCTGTGCCTTGTATGACTAGGAGAGAGCTCAGGCCTGATCAATGTCAGCAAAGGAACACAGGCAGAAAAGTACAAGAGACTTAGTTTAGGGTGGCTGGACCAGAGGATGGATACGGAAAGACAGCTAGCAAAAGAAGTCCCTAACATGGTGCAAATGGTTAACGTGCTTGGTTGCTTATCAAAAGGTTGGAAGTTCGAATCCACCTGGAGGTGCCTCAGAAGAAAGTCCTGGTGATCTACTTCCCAAAAAGCACCAGTGAAAATCCAATGGAGCACAGTTCTACTCGGACATGCATGGGGTCACCAGGAGTCAGAATCCACTCAATGGCAACTGGTTGGTCAGCTAGCAAATAGCTCAAACATGGGTTGGTACCAATGCACAGACAGCTTTGGGTACAAGCCTGGGGAATTCCGTAGGCAATAAGGAACCACTAAAAGTGTATTCTCGAAGCTGGGTATAATGAATGCATAGCAGGGCACTTTAAAATCATCTGTCTGGCAGGACTGGCTCTGCTCCCCGCTAAGAAGCATTTGGAAATGGAGGGGAGAGGGTGCTGGTTGCCACAGTGCCTGGGGAATTTGCTGGCATTTCGAGGCCAGAGGATAAGAACATTCACCCAGTGTAACACGCAGGACAGCCCCACACAACACAACAATGTCCCATCAGGAGTTCTGTTAGGCTGATATCATATTGGACCTTTAGGAAGAACTTTAACCAGGAGAGCACAAACCACTCCAGCCCAGGTGCTGTTCTGATCAATTACACACGCTATGTTACGAAAGAAGGAGGATGCCTTGCCTGTCATGAAGCCCATCAGCCCTCCAGGCAGCCTGCTGGTGGGGATGAGCCTCGCAGACGGCCGCTGACGACAGCTCTCCAAGCTTGATTACAAGAGCTCTCCAGCGCAGGAGGCCCGGAAGGCACCCTGCACCCACTCCCACCCCAAGCCCATCCAGTAATTTATTAATTGAACTGAATTAATTGAGAGGGCTCCATGATTACTTCCAGATGTCTGGAATGACAAAGATCGCTGGAAGTGCAGGAAAAAATACAGTCTTCAGCACGTGGCATAGCAATAGAGAGATAGGGTGGAGGGGGAGGGATGAGACACAGTGTTGTCTGGATATTAGCATGAGGCCACACCACGAACGAATGACATGATTTTGGACAGTTCTCCCCATCCGTCTGCCCTTGACCTGTGCCTCAGGTACCTTCCACCATCAAAATTGAGATAAGGAGCCCTGTTCTTCTAACTCACAAGAGTCTTACGACAGCCAATGAGATAACATTAAAGTGCTCTATATACTGTAAGGGAGCCCTAGTGGCGAAGTGGTTAAGAGCTCAGCTGCCAACCAAAAGGTCGGCAGTTCAAATCCACCAGCCGATGTTTGGAAACCCTATGGGGCAGCTCTAGTCTGTCCTATAGGATTGCTACGTGGCAGAACCGACTCGATTGCATCGGGGTTGTTTTTGTTTTATTTATATATGATAAAGTACTATGCACAGTGAGAGAAAAGGAATGCCTCAATTCTCATTGAAAGCCACTGGGAATTATTTGGCCATCCTGCATGGAGGGAAATCGTTGGAGGTGTAGTTTTTGCAAGGCAAGGATAACATAAATCAACGAGAATAACATGAATCAAGAGACTTATGTTATTGAAAGCAGTGATGATACTGGCTTTTCACACTGGTTACAGGATCCTTTTTCTTTTCCTCCTTGTGCCTTGTATATATGCTATGTATATACACACTTGCTAAATTGTGAGTTTCTTCAAAGGGCAAGGACCATATCTTGCACATCCCTTCACCGACATTAACGCCTAGGACAAAATCAGTAAAGAAAAGTAACCGATGGACACCTGTTTTACTTGGTTCTGACATCAGGTGCTTACTTAAGATCATTTGAAAATAATTATTTTCTTCCCAAACACCAAAACCGAACCCATCTGTCAGGGTTGAGAAACACCAGTTTTGGTTTGGTTTTGCTTATTGAGTCTCGGGTTTCTATTAAATAGGGATAAAAGTGTTGGTTCTGCTTTCAACATGACTAAAGTGCATACAAGTGGGGAATAAGTGGGATAAAATAAAGGCTGGAAATTTTTAATGCATTTAAGCACATCTTGGTTTAATGCATTTAAATATATCTGTAGTAGAAATAGGAGCCCTGGTGGTGCAAGTGGTTAAGCACTCGACTGCCAACTGAAATGTCGGTGGTTCAAACCCACCAGCCGCTCCAAGGGAGAAAGAAATGGCAGTCTGCTTCTGTAAAGATTTATAGCCTTGGAAACCCTAAAGGGCAGTTCTGCTCTGTCCTAAAAGGTCGCTGTGGTCAGAATCGACTTAATGGCAATGGGTTGGTTTATTTTGTTTTTTGTAGTAGAAATTTTGATTAATCATTTTTTCAAATGGGTTAATACTACCCTTGCAACTTCTCTGTAAATCTAATTTTTTTTTAAATGAGTCAATGTAGGATGCAGTGATTCCTGAAGCAAACATGCACATTTCTAGAGCACTCCCACGTTATCCGTCGACTAAGGCATCCTGGCTTTTCCGACAGTCCACAGATATACAATAGGCAACTTCTGAAAAATGGACAACTTCAGTATTAGCATGCAAATCATTGGCTTCACAGTCTTTTCAGTAATGCCCAACACCATATATTTTCCTGACACCGACTCTCCTTGGAGACACCTCCAGCTCACCTCCTAAGAGTGCTGGGGTCTGGCCAAATTAACTGGTCGCAGAAGAACTTTCCAGCATCTTCCCCTGCCATTTTGCTCCATGTCAACAGCAGCCCCATGACACCATTCCCAGTGCTTGTAATAAACTTTCGTGACTCTAAGCTCTTACTCATGCTATACCCATCATCAACAATGTCATTTCCCTCCCTTCACGTTCTATCAAGTCTTGTTTTATTTTATTTGTTTTTTATCTAGACCCAGTTCAAATGTCTCTGGCTCTCTGAACATTTCTCTAATTTCCCCCAAGAAGGGTAGCTTACTTGCCTTTCTGGACTCTTCTAGTCCTTTGCTTATATGACTCTAACAGTCTACATACAAGCTCCCTGTTGACCTGCCTATCTTCCCCAGTGAACTGGAAGAAGCTCTTGGAGGTCTCATCTGCATGGCAGTATTATCAACGCTGGAGGCCCACAGAAAAATATGTTATGCATGAATGGGTAAATAAATGAATGCTGATTTCCCACAGTTACTCATCTCTTTTTAGAATTTCTATATCTTCCTCCTTAGTATCTACTGTACAATGATCCCACCCTTAATTTGGTAATTCAATGCACCATATTGTTATTGAACCATCTTTGCATCCCTGGAATAAATCCTATTCAGTCACAGTTTTAGTGTTTCGAGATACTGATGAATTAGACATGCTATCTTATTTGGAAATTTTTGTAAATAAAATCATACATAAGATCATTCTATAGTGTTTCATATTTTTTCTTTGGTTGTTTTATTTATTATTTTTAGGTTTTGATATGGAGGTTCTACATCTTTTTTTTTTTTTTATGGATTACATCTTTTTAATTTTTTTATTCTTTCCCATACAAAAATTTATACATACACTGTTATGTGACTCTAATTGCCCTCCCCATACTGTGACAGCACACTTCTCCTCTCCACCCGATTCCCCATGTCCACCCTACCAGCTCCTAACCCCCTCTGCCCTCCCATCCCACCTCCAGACAGAAGCTGCCTGTTTAGTCTCTTGAATCTACTTGAGCTAAGAGGCACACTCCTCACAAGTTATCACTTTATGTCCCACGGTCCAGTCCAATCCCTGTCTTAAGAGCTGGCCTCAGAAATTGTTTTAGTTCTGGGCTGATACACAATCCAGGGGCCATGCTTTCTGGGGTTCCTCCAGTCTCAGCCAGACCATTAAATCTGGTCTTCTTACTAGAATT